TAAATTTATTATGGCCAACTTCCATCTCAAAGTTCCAACATTATATAGCAGTGAAATAATAAATCATCATTTCCTAAGTTATTCTGAGGAACACCAACAGGCCAAATGCTATTAGGCATGTTTAAAAGAACTTATACATTAAAAAAAAAAAATACTAGCCGATATTTACTGCATGATCAGTCTTCAAGAGGGACTAGAGCATACAGCATTTTGCAAACTTATTTTCCTGTCTCCCAGAAGAATATTTTTCCACAAAACACAATTTAGAATTGCTGCAGCAAACATACTCTTGTTAAAATGAGAAACAACAACAATATATACCTCAGCTCTTTTTATTAGCACTGCTATAGAATGTTCAGTTCCTGTGGTCAGAAACTGCGACAAATTCTGAAAAGAATATATAATTATTACCTATTGATATAATTGCTTACCAGGAAAAATTCAAAAGAATCAAGTATTTCTAAAATTTATAAATTTTGATAAATTGCTAATTTAAAATAATCTATGAAAATAATTCTCTACAGCAAAAATGACCACAATGGCCCACACTAGGAGCTCCCATTACCATGATCATCGTGTTTTCTGTATGTCAGTATTATCTAGCAATATATTTATCATAAATTATACAGGACTTAACTGAAATGCTCTCAAAGGATATAAAATGTGCCAGCATACCATGTTTCTAGAAAGCAATGCAATTCTTAAGTACTCACCCTTATATCAATTTAAAACAATCCCAGCTCAATTCCCAATTTATTTGTCTGGAGAAACCTATTAGCTGTAATGTTCATATGGTAAAATAAATATGTTAGAGTTACCAGAAAAAACAGTAAAAAATCAATATAACAACATCAATATAAGCACTCACTCTAACAGAGAGGAAGCCATATTTGTAATTCAGCAACAGCAGGCTGATACACTAGGTCTACAATATTCAGTGGGCCCAAAGAGAATCCAAACACAGAACAAAGTATGATTCTGTACATTTCAAATGTAGGCAGGAGACAAATACTAGCTAAAAACTGCCTAACCCTTTGGGGAAAATAAGTTAGGATACCTAAATCTACATATCAAAATAATTTAAGATAAGGCAAATTTTTAAAAATAAAAGCATAAAAGGGAAAATAGGGTAAGATTTATATAATCTTGGGGCATGATAACCCATCTAAACATGATACTCAGACCAGAAGGCAAAAAGAAAAAGATTTATCCATTTTTAATTTTTTTTATTTTTTTAAACATTTTAATGCATTTTTCCCTGTGCACAAGAGAAATAACTGAGAAAATCAAAAGATACACTTTTTTTATACATAGCAGTTAAAAGTAATGCAAACATCACATGACACTTTCATTTAAAGTTACATTTCCAATTACAAATCAAAATGCATATTAGGGTCTCTTTATGAGAGAAGCTGAGAAGGAAGTCTTAGGTAAAATGCACTTTCTTGGCATTACTACACTGATCCTTCAGGCTGCACAAAGATTAAGGTCTTATACAGTCAACCTGCAAATTTTGACACAATATTACACTGTAAGATTTCTGTACAATTAAATGTATACTTAGAGATACCAGGATAAACATTTCTACTATATTTTAACTTAACTTGCCTAGCCAACATTTTCACTGAGTAATTTATCAAATATGCTGTAAGATTCTACAAAATTGTGAAGACATACCTAGCTCCAGAAATATTTCTTGCATTCTTTCTTATTTTGGGTTTACATATTCTGCTCAGAGATTCTACTGCAATACTTCTAGATGTACAGTTCCATTTGTGCTTACTGTACTGTGTACAAATATAGCAAAACAATCAATGAATGGTACAAATCTTACAGCATTTTGCTAGTTAAAATACATGCCAAAATCACAATAAGCAATATTGTACCACAAATTAGAGAGCTTCAAATAATTTGCTTCTGTTTTTAGTATCTTCATTCTACATTAAATTACTATCATAGGCTAATGTTTAAAATGCAAATAAATTGGACATCTGTAGCACAAAACTTGTTCACCCAACTGTGAAGGCTGATACCTGTATCCAAAAGTCACGACAAATGCTGAATAAAGAGAAGTGTTTGCATGCAACACCTTTGAGTGAAACAGCATTGATTTCCACCATTCAAAACAGAGAACGAAACCAAAAGATGAAAGGTAGAAAAGGAAAAAAAAAAACAAAGGAGGAGGGGGAAATGCAGGTGGGTAAGGGGGAGGGGAGGTGGAAGGGTGGAGGGAGGGGTGGGAAAGGGCAGAAAAAAAGGAAGAGGGACTGCAATTTAAAATTCACCATTATTAGGCATATAACTAGACAGATTTAAAATAATTAAAATGAAAGTAAAGCACAATTTTGTGTGTGTTTAAAGATTTAAGAGCCATTATCAAAAATAAGATACATTTTTTTCAAGGTACAGAAATGTAATTACGATGGCTGGGAGCCCAGCAGCCTCTCAATGGCTGCATTGATGTCGCCTCCTGTTGCTATTAGGGCCTGCAAGTTTGCTTCACGGTTTAAGAACCCCATGGCGTTGAGCTGTTCCAGTTGCTGCTGAAATCTGACTTCTGGATTCGGCAGCTGTGGAGGATTTGCTCCCGCCAGAGCCTGCACCATCTGCTGAATGAACTGCTGGTTGGGTCCAGATTCCGATGTTGGACTTGTGGTTTCACTGGGTGCAGAGCTGGACACAGTGGGTGCAGTGGAGCCACCAGAGCCTGTAGAGCCGGTAGGGCCTGCAGGGCCAGTGGGTCCTATGGGCCCAATGGGGCCTATTGGAGTAAAAGGGACTATAGGGCCTATAGGGCCTATGGGAGTGACCGGGCCTACAGGGCCTATAGCGGTTCCCAGCACCCCCACACCCACACCTGGAGTGAAGCTGGGAATCAGGCCAGGTGCTTCAGTGGCTAAAGTCTGTAGCCCCTGCTGGATCTGCATTAAAGCCTGCATCGCTCTTGGGTTTGACATGGCTGATAGTGTGTCTGGATTCTGCATCTGCTGCAAGAAAGCCGGGAGCTGTGGACGCATCTGCTCCTGCAGCTGAGGATTTGCAGTAAACAGCGGGCTATTCAGCATCATCTGTGCAGCCAAATCTGGATTCTGGCTTAGAGACTGCATCATGCTTCTCATGTAGGGTGCAGAGAGCATATTCTGAATCAACTGGGGGTTCTCAGTTATCTGTTGCAGCAGGCTCTGCATTCCTGGGGTACTGAAGATGCTAGCGACATAACTAGCTGCAGCCACAGTGTTTCCAGTAGCATTATTGGAGCTGCTGCCAGAACCACTGCCACTGCTTGTGGTGGTGCTGGTGGTGGCAGAATTCTGGGTAGCTGGCGGTGGGGCCCATGGATTGGGCAACGGATCCCGATTTTCTGTGCGGGAAGGCTGAGTACCTTCCCCAGAGGAGGAACTGCTCCCCACTGAGGCAAATGGATTACCCCCAAACTGCTCTTGGGCAGCATTCAGCATGGGTTCTTGAATGTCAGTGTACATGCGCCTTAGAGCATTGTAGCCACCTGGGATGCTTTCGAGATTGCTGAGAGCTAGGTCTTGATTTCTCATCATCTCTTGCATCATGGCTGGATTCCTGGCGATTTCAAGAGTCTGCCTCATTATATCTGGGTTGTTGAGCAGGTGACTGATTTCTGGGTTTCTCTGAATCAATTGTTGCATCTGTGGATTGGCCATAATGAGCTGCCTCATCAGATCAGGATTGGAAAGCATGCTCTGAACAAAGGGATTTTCCATGATTTGGATCATCATCTCAGGGCTGGCCATGAGCTGCTGCTGCATCTGGTTCTGGAGCTCAGAGAAATTGCTGGAGCTCAAACCCAGGCTGCTAAGGCCTGCGAGTCCTCCCAGGCTCCCCAACCCAAATGGGTTGCTATTTGTGGAAATAGGTGTGGAGTTACTCCTGGGAGTAGATGCCGTGGTAGTATTAGTTCCCGCGGCACTGCTAGGCTGTGTGGTAGACTGGCCCTGAGGTCTGTTCTGGCTTTTGATGACCAGGTGAACAGTCAGTCCATCATGGATGCCATGCTGGAGCAAGGTATCTTGATCTTTTAAGATCTTTCCGGCAAAAATCAGCACTAGCTGATCGGTTTGAGATTTGAAGCGTTTGGAAATCGCTTCCTTAAACTGCTGGACTGAGCTGTTCTCAGGCACCGCGAACTCCTCTTTCTCTTTGGGGGTCTTCACAGTGACTTTGATGATTTTGGGCTCAGCCGGGGCAGTGGCCGAAGCTTGGGCCGCAGCAGGGCCGCGGGAGGGGCGCGGGGGGCCGCTGCTCTCGCCATTCTCAGCCATGGCGGCCGCGGTGACGCAGGCGGGCAGGGAAGCCGCGAGCGAGCGAAAGACAGCGAGGGAAGGAAGGAGGCGCCGCAGCTGGGGACTGGGCCTGGCCGGGCGAGGAACGCGGAGCACGGTACCTCTGTGATGAAGGCTGCGGTTCCCCGGTCCTCCGGTGGCGAGAGGGTTCAGCGTAGGCCTGGCGCCGAGGTCCTGGCGATCAGAGCTCTGGGCCTCCTCCGCCGCTGCCTTGTGATCAGACCGCGCGCACTCCCAGCAACTCCTGCTCTGCCCGCTCCTCCCCGCCCTTTCCCCACCCCCAGTTCCGCGCTCGCCTCCCCGCCCAGCTCTGCTGACGCGTCGCCAGGCCTTGATTGATAGATTTGACTCTGTCAAAATTAAAAACTTCTGCATGGGGGTAGGGGTGGGAGTGGAGATAGCGGGAGAGGGAGAGGGGAAACAAAGAGAGAGAAGGGAAGGGACTAGATTAGGAGACCAGAGAAATAAAACGGGAGAAAAGAGGCGAGGCAGGGTGGGAGGGAGGAAACCAGGGAGGAGGGAAAGCGAATCAGCTTCTGTAAAGGACACTGAAAGACAAATGGAGAATATATGCTAGCAATCTGCAAGGCAGATTGAAAGACTGAACGCCTGAATCGAACTGATATCATGTAAAAGAGGAAAAACGAATAATAAAGAACTCTGACAAAGCAAAAAGGAAGGAGGGAATTTCCCATCCCAAGTGAGGGGAGGAAAGAAGACCGGGAGGGAGCATACATTTTACAAAAGAAGTGCAAACCCCGATTGGTATATAAAACAGTGCTTCAAATCTGATACTCAAAGAAATTCAAATAAAACCAGTGAGATTCTACTATCCGCTAATCATACTGGCAAAGAGAAAATTACTGATAAGCCCCGTTGATAAGGAGCTGAGAAAATGCACTCTCATGCTAGTTGAAGTGTGCGTTGTTACAATCACAGGAATATGATATTTAAAATATTTAAAAATACATCATTGGGTAAGGATGCAAAAATATATGTTTATAAAATTTACACACACAGTATACTATTGAAATAATATTTAAACGTGTGTTTACATATCAAACATACTAGACTATTACCATACAATAAAATGCTATGCACTATGTTTAACAATAGGTGGTTAATTGATGAGATATAAAGTATCTGTAAAAGAATACACGATGTACACTGTAATTCCAAAGGAATCATAGAGTATTTTCACTTTTGACTTTATGTAATTGTGCACAACTAGAAACTATACAGGCATGTACTTTTCAGTGTAAAAATACAATTTTAAAAGTAATTTTTGAGCAACTTATATATGTACACTGTATGTGTTTGTGTAAAAATATCTGGAAAGCTATGCAGCAGTGTGATAATGGTGGTTGCCAGTGCCTGCTGAAATTGTAAATAATTCTTATTTTCTGTTTTTATAAGACTGTTAATTACCTGGTGACTTTGTAAAGTGTGCACTACATTATAAATTTTAAAAATAAGGACTGTATTTTGGGAGGAGATTACAGGTAGAAATTGAAAGTCACACAATCGTGGTGGCACACATTAATATGTTTAACTACTTTTATTACACATTAAGAATGGGAAAGATGTAGCAGCATTGATAAAGAGAATGTGAATAATAAAGGAAATATTTCAAATTTATGTATATATTTCTAGCATTGATTTAGACCAACAAAAAATCATTTTCCTCTCTCAAATTAAACAGCATATCAAAATCATTAGATTACAAATGCCTCAATACATCTCAACATAAAAAAGCACTTAATAAATCAAGAGAGTAATATATGAATATATAGTATGATTAATATGATTATATAATACAGAGGCAAAAACTGAACTTGTTTTAAATATATTAATACAGGTAGGTAGAAAAAATGTAATTAGCACATGCAAAACAGCATTCTGTGGTGTTTATAGAAGCATGAATATATACGTGAAATATTCTATTAGAAATATACTAGAGGGCCTGGGATGTACCTAGATGGCGCAGCACTTGCCTAGAATGTGGGAGGCCCTAGGTTCAATTCCCATGAAAAAGAAAGAAGGAGAGAGAGAGACAGAGGAGAAGAGAAGGGCAGGAAAGGGAAGGCGAGGGGAGAGAAAAGAAAATTGTAAAATGACAGAATAAGATATAAAATTTGTACATGAGAAAGAGGAAATAGGTACAACTGGACATAAATCTGTAAAAATGTACTTTTACCTTTAAAACTGAAAAACATGCCAAATATTAGTAAATTAATTCTAAGTGGTGGGAATTCCTACTCACATTTGTTACAATGTTGTTGAATTTTTGTACTTTTAATTTTTTCAAAAAATAAAAATTAAGAAAACGTCAAGTAGATATTTAAAAAAAGAGGGAAAAAAACCCAACCACCTGAAAATTAAAATAACTTTTGAGACAAGTGCAAACCGAAATTCTTATTAGAATGAATTCACAAAAATAATGAGAAAATGTATATCAATAACTACCACAAGACTTTATGTGGTCTGAGGAACTTACTAAGAATAAAGATTTCTAACTGTTATCCAAAGCTTACAGAAATAAGTAGTGCACAAGAACCTGCATTCTTTTTAAGATCAAATATAATAATACTTGATTTATGGGGTATTATGTGGATGAATGAAGAATGAGATTTATACCCTCAAAGAGTTAAATACTAAACAAAAAAGAGTGAAAATAAATGAATTAGACACTCAAATAGTGAAGAAAGAAGAAGAAATAAAAGCAGGGGAATGAGGTGTTAGACACAAAATAATTAAGCCAAATACTACTAAACAAACAAGAAAAGTAAAATTTGTTAAATAAACCTAAAATATTTTTGTAATAACTAATTCAAATAGATAAACCATTATAATCTCAGTGATTCTCTTTGTTTCCCTCACCAAAGTACACAGGAAGGAGCAAAAGTACATTTACCCTTTGGCCTTTTCTGGAGTTTTCTGTAAGTACATGTATTTGAATTCGATTCCTTTATCTTACATGTCATGTAATTTTTTGACATTTTGTTGAAAACACAGTGTAAAATTATATCTTATTTATCATGAAATAGATTAATATTCCAGCAGTTGAATTTACAGTCATTCAGTAGTGAGAAGTACAGCATTAATGAGCTGAAACACAAGGAAATAGCAATGAGACAAATACATAAAAACTATAATTGTGAGTATATTTAATCACAGATGAAAGGAATATTTCTGCAAATTATTAGGAAATAATTTGTGCCAATTATTAGGATATAATTTGGGTGAATAACAAAGAAAAACTATTGGCTAGCACTTTTCTTGGAGGATACACATGGTAAAATTTTAATTACAAATAGAAAACCTTAGTAAATCATGTAAGAGACATGTACAAAAATGAACAAGAAATTAATCAGCTATATTGTTCGAGGTTGTAGTAGACCTTATGCTTTTACCTCTGCTCTTTACTAAATATCACTGAAGTGACAATGATGCGTGAAAAGCAATAAACCCCTAATAACGCTGGAAAAGTAGAGAGAATGTCATCAATGAATTTTCATGTGAAATACCAAAATAAATTGTAGATGAAAAGTGAAATCATAAAACTTTCAAAACACATTAAAGCAAATCATTAAATAATCTCATTACTTGGACACAATTTCTAAAACAACAAAGAAAAACTATAAATGGAAATATTAATAGATTTCATTAAATAAGAATTTAACTCTAAATTTGATCCTTCAAGTACCATAAAAGAGTTGAGCGTCTATATGTGAAAGACACAATAAAATTAAAATTAAGTTAGAGTCACCTTAAAAATCAGTGACAACATATGAGCTCTCTCTATCACATGTACACATTTCTCAATAATCAGTGTAAAAAAAAATCAATATTCCAAGGGGAAAAGAGCTATTAATGACCATCTTACAAAATTAAGAAAAAATTCTCAAGGAAAGCAGGAAGGAAAGAGGGAGGAAGGGAGAATGGGGAGAAAGAAGGAAGGAAGGAAGGAGAGAAGAAAGCAAAGAAAGGATATTTTACCTTTTTGAAATAAAAAAAAACAAAATATATCCCATCTATAAAATAAAAAATATCAATATAATATCTAATTTTGACATGATCAGTCCAGAATGCCTGATTGCTAACAGTAAGCATTAAATCATTATTATTATTATTATTATTATTATTTATCAGGATGTGCTAGGCATTAAGTTTATGGAGGAATTATATCTTTTCAACTTGCTAATAAACCCTAAAAGTGTGGTAAAACATGCACACAATTTTTACTAAGCAATTCCACTTTCAGGAATTTACCCTGAGAAAGTAATTTCTATTGCTGAGGTCTTGAGGTGACTGCATAAATTAAATAGTGTGCTATCCTCCTTTAGCATTAGCTGAGGATCCTAAGGGAAATTTTATGATTGTTCCTCATTCCTGTTGATGCACAAAGGCACAAATAATATAGTTAGGATTGGAAGAATAGTAACATGAACATAGGTTTGACACAAATAAAGTAGGACTACAGTTCCTAGTCTTTGTCATTTATGGCTGCATAACCTTAGAATAGCCTGTTCATTACTTTAAGTTTGGTTTCTTCATCAGCAAAGTGAAACTAATATGCATACTTTTCAAGCCTGTGGAATGTCCTGGTTTACATCTGGATGTTTTCAAGAGCTTCCTGTGCTCATACACAGGGCTTGTGGAAGAGGGCTGCAAGATAAGGGTGCTATGCTCTTAGGATGTGAGGGCTGCTCTGAGGAAACAGATCACTGGTGGCATGACCTAGGAGATTGTATCTCCCTCCCAGAACCCTCCCTTCTCTCTGTTTCTTGCTCTTCATAATGTGAACAGCTTTCCTCTTTTTACATTTTTTCCTGGGCCATTTCTGTATTTAAGTCTGCTAAACATGGACTGAAACTTCTGAAACAGGAGCCAAAATAAACTGCTTGTCCTTTCCATTGTGAGTGCTGGGTATTGTATCCCAACAGTGAGAAAGTGACTAAGTCTTGATTATAGTCAGTTAAGTACACTAGAGAGACAATAATTGCTTTCCTGCAAACTCCTCTACGTAAATAAACCAAATGAAATGTGTTTACCCTTGGTCAATTACATTATCAATGGAAAAAACAAAAATATCAAAACATCAAAAAATTATGAAATATAAGCTCAGATATAGACTATTTGGTACATGTATATTTTGTTCTGGAGATAAACTTTCAAATTATGTATTGTCCCTTTTTTAAAACTTGACACTCAATGCAATAAATTTGTCTTTTCATTTGGTTTTATAAAAAAAAAAAAAACAACGCACAAGTGTGTCAGTCTTTCTTCAATGCCCAGAAATTCTAGAGTTATATGCTCATTTTAAATTCTATGCTGGCAACTTACGGATTGGCTGTGGCATCCTGAAACTAAAACATGGCAAATTTCCCATTCATATCCAGATTTTCAAGTTTCTTTTTCATATCTAGATGATCTGGTACACTGGGCTCATACCTGAGGGGTAATAATTTGACTGGAACTGAATAATGACTGCATCCTTAAATAAGATATGTACTCTGATTTATCAGTCTCTACCAGGGCCACTTCACTTATTTTCCTATTTAACTGGCCCTAACCATTGGCCCTAACTATTTCCTGAAGCCCTGGGGTGATCTGGAAAAGACCAAGAAAAATGGGATACATCCAGGATGGAATATTCACTTTCGGTGGAATATGAATATGTCTGTATTGAGGCAAACACTCTGTATCATAATGATGACGATGATGAAGATGTTGATGATGGTTTTCCCTGCCTTTTTTCATCAGACTGGTATGACTTTGAAGGAGTTCCAACTGAAAACTGGGGCTTGGGAAAAATAAGAGGTGAGAAAGAAAGTTTACTTCACCATGTTATGTTGTAGAATAGAATTTTATATTATAAATTATGGCATAAATTTCTCTCATGAATGACTTTCAAAAGAATTTAGAACTGAATTCCTTCAAGATTTATAAAATCAATAGACAATTGCAATGAAAATGGAAAGTAAGAGGGAAAATGTTCACTTATGATCAAAAGTATGTGATATGGAGGACTAGACATGGAAAAGAAAAGCAGGAGAACAGACATTTCATGAAAAGGTAAAAATGAGTAGAGCAACTGCTACCCTCAATTAAATTCTGACCAATAAAGTACAAAAATGTTTCATAAATGAGAAGTATCAGAAGTGAGAGGTTGTCATTGCAGACGTCATCAAGGCCTAATATCTTTAATGATTGCTATGGCTTGTTTCTAGATGTCCCTCAAAGCCTCATGCAGTCAGGCTTTCTTGGAGGAAGCTAAATCTAGAGTGCATGATGCTGGGATTATGGGTTGTATGATCAGCTCACTGATTGGTTTGGCATCGCTCTAATCCCAGCAGCCTATGTAAAGTACAAAAAGGCAGAAAGACACTGTTAAGGTCCATTGTTGCTTTTGCTGTGTTATGCTACCATGGACTGTTTCTTCTACAGGATGCCCCTGTGCCAAACTATGCTACCTTGGAACCGGCCAAGTACGGACTGAAACTTCTACAAATTGTGAGCCAAATAAACCTTACCTCCTTTCTTTCGGTGATTGGTACTTTGTTTCAGCAATGAGAGAAAAGTAATGACGACAATGATGAAATAGTGGTCAAAGGGGATTTTTTAGTCATTGGAGAACCTCGAGTTGAGAGTGTGGCTCAGTGGTAGAGTTGCTGAATATCATGCACAAGTCTCAGGATATAATCACCAACATCATGAAAAACAATGTTCTGTGACTGATGCAAATAATTACTTAAAGCTGATGTTCAGTTTCTGGGACAAACCTATAAAGCCATTAACTTCCAGCATAGTTAGAAGTCAGCATTAGCTATATTATATTAACTGGAAATGTGTGACTACAGGAAAATTTTTATAAGAAGTCTTATAAGTTGCAAACAGAATAACAACAGAAATACATTTGACAACATTTGGAGGAGGTACATCTTTTACATGCATTGCATGTAAATTCTATTGCTAGGGTCAGTGGAAAAAGCTATAAAAAATAAAGTATTTGTGAATTCCCAAAGAAAGCAAAAAATAAATTAAGGGAGTAGATTGTAGGGTAAAGCTCTTAAGGATGACTGCTTTCAGAAAGCAATTTGACATAGGAGGTAAATAAGAAGGCTGGTATTTATTTTTAATGTCTTTGATTTGGCATATGCAGATGATACGTCTTGGTAAATTATAATGTTGAAATCCAAATTTATCTATTGAAAATACCCAGCTACAAATCTAAGGAGAATGCAATGTTTATAGTAAAAGTCTTTTGGATTGTAGGTGGTAGAGGGTAAAACAGAAACTAGGACTAAGAAAGTTGAAACTTGTGTTGAGACATGTGGAAGTGATAGCAGTATTATCTAAAGCAGTAATCTTCAAGCCTGAATTAGTCTAAGCAAATTCTTTCAAACTGTAGAAGAATAAAATACTTTAAAAATGAACCAATTTCTAGATATGTGACTTCCACATATCTTCTTTTCTAAAACTAAATTACTAAAAAATATCCTGGGAGTCAGTGTACCCCCATTTAGAAAAGACTGTGCTTGCTTTACAAAATAAAACCATACTTTTTTAAAATTAAGATTATGGGTACAATTTAGATATAGACAATGATCACACTGATCATAGGGAATTTGTATCATTACATCATATTATAAGAATATACACAATGATCACACTGATCATAGGGAATTTGTATCATTACATCATATATCTTGATTTGTTTTTTTTTTTCCCATTCTCAGGCCCTCCCTTCAATCCCTCTTTCTCTCCTTATTTACAATGTTTTATTTCCCTTTTATCCTTCTTGTCTCATGTTCTTTTTCTTTTCTCTTCCTTCTTTTCCTTCTCTCTAGCTCCTCTTTCCTTTTAAACAATTTCTTCCTATTTCACAATATCTATTATACATTTTGGATTTTATTTACACTTTCAATTTCTCATACAAGAAAGACAAAGTGATATTTACGTGTCTTATTTATTTTACTTAAGAATATGGTCTCAAGCTGAATCCACTTAGCTAGAAATATCTCAGATTTATCTTTCTTTATGCAGAGTACTACTCCACTGTACAAAACAATCACTTCCTATTTATGCATTCATTAGTTGATGAGTATTTGGCCTGTTTCCAAGACTTAGCTATTACAAATTGTACTGCTATAAACATGGATGTGCATGTATCACTGTGGCATAATTCTTTTAATTCTTTTAGGAAGATATCAACAAAGGGAATAGGTCAGTCAATAGGGACTTCTAGTTCTAGTTTTTAGGGTATCTCCACACTGATTTCCACAGTGGTTATACCAGTCTATATTCCCACCATCAGTAGAGATGTGTTCCTTTTCCCCCACATCCCACATCCTTGCCAGCATTTGTTATTGGTTGATTTCTTGGTAATAGCCTTTCTTTCTGGTGGGAGATGGAATCTCATGATTGTTGTAACTTTCATCTCTCAAATGACAGGTGCTACGCATCATCTTCGTATGTATTTATTTGCAATTTGTACACCTTCATGTGAGAAGTTGTATTCCCATGACATGCTATTTTTTGGATTGGGTCTTTAAATTGGGGGCGTGTCTGATTTTTTGAACTTTTATATGTTCTAGAGATTAGTCTTTCACCTTAAATTTTTCCCACTCTATGTGTTATCTTTTTACTGTTATTGATTTTTTGCTATACAACACTTTTAATAAGATGAGAGATCCCAGTGGTTGATTCTTTGTAGTGTTTCCCATGCAGTGAATATTTTATTCATGAAGTCTTTGCCTACACCTATATATTTAAGAGTTCTACCTATTGTCTTCTCCAGCAGATTTAGTATTTCTATTTTAATATTTAGATCCTCAACCAACTTTTATTTTTGTTTAGTGCATGATGATAGACATGGGTCTAGTCTTAGTCTTTGACATGTAGAGTGCCAGTTTTTCCACTACCATTTATTAAAGAGGCTATCTTTCTTCCAGGCCCATTTTGTCAAAGACAAGGTGGCTGAGTGTGCTGAAAGTTGTGTCTGCATATTCTATTCTGTTCCATTGATCCTCAGGGTTTTTTTTTTTTTGCCAATATCATGCTGGTTTTATCACAGTAGTTTCATAGTATAATTTTAACACAGGGATTGTGATGCCTCCTGCCTTGCCTTTGTTGCCCAGAATTGCTTTTGTTATTCTAGGTCACTTCTGATTCCAAATGAATTTTAGAAATATTTTCTCTAGTTCAGTGAAGTATGTTGATGGTATTTTGATCAGGATTGAATTAAACTTGCATGACATTTTTGGGACAATGGCCATTTGCACGATGTTGATTCTTCCTATCCATGAGCAAGGGCTATCTTTCCATTTTTGTATATCCTCTTCTATCTCCATTTTTAGAGTACTATAATTTTCAATATATAGATCCTTTACTTCCTTTGTTAGATGGATTCCTAAGTATTTCATTTTTTTGGATGCTATTGTAAAAGGGGATATTTTTCCCATTTCTCTCTCAGCAAGTTTGTTATTTGTGTAGAGTAATGTTACTGTTTTGGAGGGTTGACTTTGTATCTAACTATGTGACTGAATTCTGTATGAAATCGAGAAGTGTTTTAGTAGAGTTTTAGGGATCTTCTATGTAGAGTATCATGGCATCTGCAAATAATCATAATTTACCTCTTCATTCACTATCTTTATTCATTTTGTTTTTTTCTCTCATCTAATTGTTCTGGCTAATGATTCCAAAAGTATATTGAACAGGAGTGGTAATAGTAGCCGTTCTTCTCTTGATTATAGAGTGAAAGTTTTCAGTGTTTGGTTTTTAATATTTTTATTTTATGGAAAAATAGTAAAACAAAATTTCAAAACAAAATAATAGGAAAATAACAATCATTAATACAATGAGTATAGTTATCTTCAAAGTAGGTGCTCAGAATACAAGATATAGGCATAAAAATCTTTCCAACTATTAGCACAAAATTTTCAATGAGCTAAAACCACTGAGTAGTATAACTATCTTGTATTTTTTTCCCTTTTTCTTTGTTCCTTTCTCCTTTCCTTCATCCTAGTAATTTTTTGCTTTGGAACAATTTCTTCCTATTTGACAATATCTATTATATATTTTGGACCTTATTTACTTTTTCAATTTCTCACATGAGGAGGAAAATATGATGTTTACACATGTATGTCTGATTGATTTCATTTTTGGGTATGGTCACAAAATGCATCCACTTACCTATAAACCTCTCAAGTTTATCTTTTTTATGGTTGAGTAGAACTTCATTGTCTAAATAGACCACATTCTTTTATCCATTCCTCAGCTGATGGACATTTGTGTTGTTTCCAAGGTTTAACTCTTACAAATTGTGCTGCTACCAACATGGATGCACATATATCTCTGTGGTATGATGTTTTTAATTCTTCTGAGAGGATAACCAGAAGAAAAAAGCTGAGTCAAATGGGACCTCTAATCCTAGTGTTCTGAGGAATCTCCGTACTGATTTCCATAGTGGTTGCACCATTTTGCACTCCTTCTAACAGTAGAGAGGGTTCCTTTTTCCCTACTGCCCCTTCAGCATTTGTTATTGGTTGGTTTCTTGATGATAGCTATTCTTTCTGGGGTGAAATGGAATCTCAGTGTTGTCTTCATTTCCATTTTTTAATGACCAATGATGTTGAACATTTATTTCATATATTGATTTGCTATTTGGATTTTATCATCTGAGAAGTGCATATTCATCTCAGATGCCCATTTTTGGATTGTGTCTTTGAAGTTCAAGATCCTGATTTTTAAATATTCTTTATATGCTCTAGATATAAGTTTTTTGTCTAAGGTACAATTGACTAATTTTTTTCCATTCTGGGAGTTGTCTTTTCACTCTTCTTGGTGATTTATTTTGATGTGCAAAAGCAACTCAACAACATGAGATCTGAGATGTGAATTCTTTGCAGTATTTCCCATGCAGTCTGGGTTTTGTTCATGAACTCTCTGATAACACCTTTGTTTTGAAGATTTCTAATTAATTTAATTTTTTTGTTTTAATATTTAGATCTTTGATTGATTTTGACTTTAGTTTAGTGAATGTTGATAAACATGGGTCTAGTTTTAGTCTTTAGCATGGGGAAAGCTAGTTTTCCTGGACCATTTATGGACAAGGCTTTCTTCCACTGAACATGTTTGACCTCTTTGTTAAAGATGAGGTGGTTAAGTGGTTGTAGTTGTGTTTGCACCTTATAATCTGTTCCACTGATCCTTGGGTCTGGTTTTTCTTTGCCAGGACCATGGTATTTTTTCACAGTAGCTTAGTAGTATAATTTGAAGTCAGGGATTGTGATGCTCCCTGACTTGCCTGTTTTGCCCAGCACTGTTTTGGCTAATCTAGGCCTCTTCTGTTTCCAAATGAATTTTAGGACTGTTTCCCTAATTCTGTGAGATATGCAAAATATATTTTCATAGAGATTGCAGTAAATCTGTGTAACTATTGTGGAAGTATGTGAATTTTCTCTGCACTGGTTCTTCCTCTTCATGAGCAAGTAATATGTTTCCATTTCTGCTATCCTCTTTGATGTACTTT